GCAGCCGGCGGCGGGGACTACATCTCCCACCATGCAGCGCGGCTGCTCGCGCCCAGCCTCCCGTGCAGCGGTGCGCGCACCAGGTGCGATCAGGAAGCGGGGTGTGGTTCGGGGGTGCAGCGTGCAGCCGTGTTGGTCCGGGCAGGTGAGGCTCTTGGGGTGAATCTGATCTCTCTTATTCCACCAACTTAAATTCAATTAAACTAAAACTCTTGGTTCCAAAGTGATACCTTTGATTAGACCAACTGGAAAATGGATCATTTTTGAGGCATTGAATTGATGCACCACAGGCAAAACCCCAAGTCGCTCTCAGAAAGTTTTAACTGACTGCTGGGTTTGCTGCCAGCACTTTGCTAGGATGCCTCACCTCCAAATAAACACTTCAGTTTTGATGACCCAGCTCTCGCTCTTTCACTGACGTCTTAACAGCGAGCAATACAAAGTAAAGATTTATTTGCAGGCTTCTCCGCATATTTTTTCACTGGACAATCGTTTTTTCAGCAAATGCAATCATTTTGAGCCAATATGATACTGTAATTTCATATTTAAGACCTGGCAATGCAGTTGATGCTTGCCCGCCAGGCATGGGCAAGGGCACGTGGGTGCACCTGGCAGGACAGGATCCGTGTGGGGCATGGCTGGGAGCTGCGGTGCCTTGCCCCAGGGAGTCCCTGGCACTCAGTGCCCTCCCAGCGAGGATGAAGCCCTCTCTTGGCAGGGTAGGAGCCCCTGAGTGTCAAGAGCGTGGCATAGCCTAGCTCGCTCCTGCGGCCATACAGGTAAATGGAAGCAAAACTCAGGGGCATCTGAACCCCAAGCCTTTGGGCTTGGGCCTGCGTGTAGGATGCCTGCCGAATGATTTGGAGGGTTGTAGGTTGGAAGCATTTGAAGCCCCAGGCAGGGGTGGAGGATGTTTGCCAGTAGCAAGGCCACATAAGCTTCTTGAATGACTCATGGATTTGGAATTGATTTTGCCAATTTGACTTGGAACGTGAAAAATTATCCTTTAAAAAAAAATAATAATAAAGCATGGCATAGGAGGTGCTAGGGGTAAAGAGATCCCCTCACCTTTGCAGGAGGTGCGGGCAAGCCTGGCTCTGACAGCCGACAGGATTCACATGGCCACGGCTGGCAGACGTTGGGTGCTGCTGCTCACCTGTCGTTAGATGCCAAGGACAGGCCATGACGCACAACTGCAGTCTCTCTCGCTGGCCCCTGCCCAGCTCTGGAAAGGATGGAAATGTCTCTGTGCTCAGTCATCCCTCGCGCCAAATTCCCCCATGGTTTCCGCAGCCAGCTCAAAGCACTCCTCCGTTCCACACCCCGCTGCCCGCTTTACCGTCTCTCTACCCAACAGCCCCCCTCCCCCCATGTCCCCGTTTTTGCCTTTTGTGCTGCCCCTCCTCACCCTTTTGCTACTGGGGAGTGACAGCCTCACCCTCTGTGACTTCTGGAAAGTCTTGTCTGCTTCCAGCAGCTCTCCAAATCTCAGTCCTGTGTAACCATTAACTCATGCAGAAGTGGGGCTGGAAGGGACCTCAGGAGGTCATCTAGTCCAGCCCCCTGCTCAACCATCCCTAACTAGACCATCCCAGCCAACGACTGCTTTTAAATGCTTACAAGGATAAGAGTCCACGCTCTCCAGGGGGATGCTTAACCACCCTCATAAAAGCTTCTTAACGTCCAACCTGAACTTCCCTTGTTGCAAGAGCATTGTTCCTTTTTTTTTCTTTTTTTGTTGGAAAAGGAAGATGTATTTGATCCCTGGAGCAAGTTCCAGCCCAGCTGGGCCATTCACACTCCTGCTTCTCACATCTCACAATCAGGCAATGAGCAGCACATGGCTCCTCCAAACAGGAGGAGACCAGACAGGTCAATGACCTGGACAGAAATGCATGTTCTGCACAATCAGCAGGGAAAGGTGGCTTCGGGGCTAGAGCACAATGCCACCTAGTCTGGACTCATGGGTCCTGTTTCCATTGTTCCTTGTTCCGTTTCTTGTGGCTACAGAGAATAGCCTCTCTCCTTCTTTACAACCACCCTTTGGGTACTTGAAGACTATCAGGTCCTCTCTCAGTCTTCTCTCCTCCAGACTAAATAAGCCTAGTTCTTTCAGCCTTTCCTCATAAATCATGCTTCCCAGGCCTGTAGTCATTTTTGTTGCCCTCCACTGGACTCTATCTAGTCTGTTTGCATATTTCTTAAAGGGTGATGCCCAAAAACAGACACACTGCTCCAGACAAGCTCTCAACATCTGTGCTTATAGCTATTAACGCCTGTCTTGTTGCTTGCAGAATACTATGTGAGGTCATAAGGTATTAATGTAGCTTTCTGGCCTCCTTTACCCCCTGTTTTTATATGCCACCCAGGCCAGATCTCATTTCAGAGGCAGGCTTAATATCACTGCTACTAAGCCCTTTGCTAATTACTGGTCTCACCCCTTAACTTTTTCATGCATTGCCTTTTTTTAAGGATAAAGTCAAAGTATATATTTAATTAAGTTGACTTTCTCCCTGCTGCATAGCTGTTTTGCCTGCCATCCTCCAGCACAGCCACGTCACTGGGATGTTCCAGGATCACTTCACATGGAAGAGCCATGTTAATCAGCCCAGTGCTTCCAGCAGTCCCAGAACTGGTGATAGTTTGTTCACCAGTAAACTGCACCTCTTGTACTGAGGAGGAGTTTTAGCCTTGATTTTAATGGGGTCCTGGTATGAACCCTTTCTGTTTCAATATATGGTAAGACTATAGACAGTCTCTTAAAGAAAAGCACTTTCTTGCAAATATTAGCCTGAGAATCAACTGCAGGCGATAAGGAGCTGATTGCTTACATATGAGCTGTGATGCCCTTGCTTGTACAGCCAGCTCTTCCTAGGCAGCTGGGGAATTCAGGGTTCAACCTCCAACAGTTCCTTCAGCAGACTGCAGAGAAGCCTTGACACTTCAAGTCTTTTTATGCCCTGCACCAAACTGCATCAGTAGTTGTCCCACTAGTTCCTTCCAGGTAACCCCCCCCAAGCTTCAAGTGTAAGCCTGTAGCAGCTTTTAGCTCAGCCACTTTAAAATGGCACCTGTTCAATCCCAAACCCAGGGCAGCCTAACAAGTCACTTGTTGCATAAATTAAACCACTAATGCTAAAACCAGTCAGCTGAAGTAGGCTGCACAGTCCCAACGGCAAAGTATGACTTTACAGGACAGAGCCAGCCTGCATGGGATGAAGCACGAGGGGACACGAAGCTGCTGGCTCGACGGCAGAGTGTCATGGGGATGAAATACAGAGCTCCCCAGGAGAGGACAGGGGGACAAAAACATGGCACAGGCAAAGCGGGACAGAGCTGTCAGAGACTCTCATTAAACAGAGAAAGGAGCAAAGCCAAGACCCAGACATGAGACATCCTGCATGACCGGATTCAACACGAGAGACAGGAGAGCACAGGGAACGGGGAATCATCGTGTTATGTCAGTGTAAATAAGGCTTTCCATAACCTCTGCTTCTGCACTGGAGAGCAAGAACGCATAGGCCTGAGACTGTGTAGGCCTTAAGCATGTGTGTCCAACTGAAGTCAAAAGGATGGAAGCAGGTAGGGAACTGGCATTTCAAGATAACCGGCAAGTCAAAAGGATTGAAGCACATGTTTATAGTTAAACCGGTGTTTGCTAAATAGGCTTAAAAAACTAGAACTGCATGCATTCTACCACTCCCATTTCAATGAGCAGAGTCAGACATCAGGGGTTACAAGTAACTCCAGTCCTAAAACCAACCCAGCTACTTGTTCAGACTTTATCCAGTGTGGATGACAATCCTTTGCGCAGGCTGGCATTCTCAGCCATTTTTGCATATTCCACATAGCGTGCAAATTGCAGGGAAATTGCTCTCTCTCACACTGTCTTCTTAATAGCATGTCACATCCAATGTAAAGAAGGCAGGGCTGGATTATCACTTACTGCTTCCTTGCAAGACAAAAGATCTTCTATCAGAGGAGCACCTCATTGGTTTGAAGACTTGTGCTCCAATATCGTTCAGTGAGCCAGGACAGAAGGAATTATTTCTAGCCCCTGAAAAATCACAGCAGCGTGGGTGAGAGCTCTCACTGGTTGCCTCAAGACAAGCCATTGATTTCATAGACATTTGGACTGGAAGGGACCCTGGAGGATCATCGAGTCCTGCCCCTTGCCCCAGGGGCAGGAAATCAGCAGGGATCATAGGATCCCAGCAAGATAAGCATCCAAGTGTGTCTTGAAGGCGTTCAAAGTGGGTGCTTGAACCACCTCCAGCAACAGTCTGTTCCAAACCTTGGGGGCTCAGACAGTGAAGAAGTTATTCCTTATGTCCAGCCTGAATTAGTTGCGGCAGAGTTTGTGACTGTTCGATCTTGTCATCCCTTGGGGCGCTTTGGTGAACAGATGTTCCCCCAGATCCTGATGAGCACCCCTGATAAACTTTTAGGTGGCCACCAGATCACCCCTGAGCCTGCGCTTTTCCAGGCTGAAGAGCCCCATGGCTCTCAGCCTCTCATAAGGTCCATTTTCCTGACCTTTGATCATGTGCGTGGCTCTCCTCTGCAACCTCTCAAGCTTCTCCACACCCTTTTTGAATTGTGGGGCCCAAAACTGGACGCAGTACTCCAGCTGCGGCCTCACCAAGGCCGAGTACAATGGGAGAATGATGTCCTGGGATTTGCTTGAGAAGCATCTATGGATGCAAGCCAGAGTTTTGCTCACTTTACTAGCCGCAGCATCACACTGAAGGCTCATGTTCATCTTGTAGTCAATCATGACTCCCAAGTCCCTTTCATCTGTAGTGCAAACCACCGTAGCACTGCCGAGACTATAAGCATGCTGCGGGTTTTTCCTCCCAAGGTGGAGATCCTTGCATTTTTCAGTGTTGAACACCATCAGGTTCTCGTCCGCCCATTTCATGAGCCTGTCAAGATCCGCCTGGATCACCCTCCTGTCCTCAGGTGTGGATGCTTTACCCCAGAGTTTGGTGTCATCAGCATACTTGGCCAGTCCACTGCTGACACCAACGTCCACAACATTAATGAAGATGTTAAATAGTATAGGCCCTAGTACAGAGCCTTGAGGGACCCCACTGGTGACCGTACACCAAGACAATTGGCTCCCGTCGACCACCACCCTCTGGGTCCTACCGCAGAGCCAATTCCCCAGCCAGCGGATCGTGGTGGACCTGAGGCCGCAGTTAGTCAGGTTAGCCAAGAGGTGATCATGGGATACCAGATAGAAGGCTTTTTTAAAGTCAAGATATAAAACGTCGATCTCTTTCCCCTTGTCCAGGTGATATGTCACCAGGTCATACAAGGAAATGAGATTGGTCAAGCAAGACCTACCCACAACAGACCCATGCTGGGTATCCATCAGGATATTGCCTTCAGCTAGACTGTTAAGGATGGCCTCTTTAATATTTTTTTCCAAGACCTTCCCCAGGAAAGAGGTTAGGCTGATGGGCCTGTAGTTTGCCGGATCTAGTTTCCTCCCGTTCTTGAAGATAGGCACCACACTGGCCTTCTTCCAATCTTTGGTCACTTCACCAGAGCACCAGGCGTTCTCAAAGATCCGTGCCAGGGGCAGAGCTATGATGCTTACCAGCTCCCTGAGTACCCTTGGGTGTAAACCATCAGGGCCGGCTGACTTGAAGGTATCCAGCCTGTCAAGGTGTTCCTTCACGAGGTCAGCTTCAATGGAGGGCAAGGAATCTCCCTCACCTGGGCCTCCCTGACCCACAGTGGGCCACTGGGTTTTATTCCTGCATCCGGTGCTGTTGGATTTGGCTTCAAGTATGTCTCAGAATGTGTGTGTTTCAGTGGACATCCACCAGTCTTTGCAACACACATCTTCACTGACTTCCAGGGTAGGTTAGGGTTTGAGTAGATGCAAGAGAGTCTCCTCTAGGTAGTGGTATATTTGGCAGGGAGAGAGGTGTGATAGGGGCAAATGCCCCAGGCACTGACCTGGAGGGATGGGGTGCAAAGAAAAGTGGCTGCTGCTGACAGCCACGCGTTAGCAAGGGTGAACTGAAAGCTACTAGTTCTGCCTTGCCCTGGGTGCCTGGCCACATCCCTTCACTGCTACCTTTAGGCTATTTTAAATTTTGATACTCACACAATCCCTGATGTAGCTGCTGCATAGCATCAACCCAAGAAACGTTTGGGTCATTTAGAATGTTTTTCCCCCTTTGAGTTCCAGCCACAGTCACCTATATTTGCAAGGAAGTAAGTTTGTACGAGCCTGTGTTGGCTGACTCTCACCATATGTCTACTTCTTTGGCATCCTCCAGAGTGCTGCTGAGAAGCATGCGTGGCCCACGTACTCCCACTCCACACACATCAACCTAGAAATGAAACAGAAGCTGCCTGAGGTTGCCCCACTGCCATTCTTGACATCTCCATCTCTGCCATGCAGAGGTAGATTAAGATTCATTGGGACCTGGGTGTCCCTCCACATGGCCTGCCCCCCCATGGCCAAGGCGCCCCCTGACCCATGCCCTGCCCTGCAGCTGTGGGCTCCATCCCTGGCCGGTGCAGCTGGAGCGGGATGCGCTGCCCACTAGGCCCAAGGCAGGAGCTGTAGCCACCTCTGCTCACAGGTCCATGATGGAGCTGGAGCTGGAGCCCAGGGCTGGTTGCGCAGGACCCTGCACAACATCACCCTGTGGCCAAGCAGCTCTGGAGGTGCGGAGCCGCTGCCCTCCATGCACTGCACTTCACACGCTCTGGGGGTGACCCCTCGCCCTGCTGCAGCTCAATCTGGCTGCAGTGGCATCCAGCAAATGCGCAGGATCACAGCCAGGCCAGGATGGGACCTGACTGCACTGGGGCCACCCCACTGCTGGCAGGTCCCAGCCATGCACTGAGCCCAGCTGTGCTCCAGCTGCTCCCACAGCTCTGGCGCAATCACCCCCTGTGCTCTGCCCGGTACCCAGCAGCCACAGCCCACCGTGTCACGCATGCCCAGCCTGGCCCAGCCACCAGTTTCATCCGTACTGAGCTGCCTCCACTTATTCCCATGCCCACCCTCCTGACCTGTTTGCCAGGGGCCCCTGGGGCCCAGCTGGCCCATGTGTTAGTGTGCCTATGCTACCATGCTTTTGTGGTGATGAGCTGTCTCAGGATGGTCTGACTGTCTCGTTTCTGGGTTTGGGTATGTGGAGTGTGAAAGGCTGGATGGGGTGTGCTTTTCTTGAAAACGCTGCAGAAGCAGCATACATATACCTCAAAAAGTAAGTGTGCCCAGCATCTACTGAGATGATTTGCTTTCACAAAAATAGAAGGGTTTCAACTTACCACGTGTAAGCAGTACTTCCTGTCAGTGTGCATTATCCCTAGTGAAATGCCATACTAAGAGCAGAGTAGCTCAGATGACATGAGCTGTAAGAGGGGGTAAATTGTCCGTGGATTCAGATGAGGGCTTTGAAGTGCGGAGCACGTGCTCCAAAGACCTACACCCTGCATTATAGAAAATGCCAGGCAGCTTCCAAGCCTGACTGATGCTGAGAAGGCAGTTCTCAGTCCACAAACCAATACGTGTAGGGAAGTCCAAACTAGCCCTGTAAAAAGAAAGCCTGTAAAAAGAAAGACACTTTCAGGAGGGAAGCAACCAAGAGTGCCAGCGCGTAAGGGAATCCTTAGCAAGCTTAGCTGGATTAGAGATATGACAGGCTAGGGGACATAGCCAAACTGGTTAGCTAAGGGTTTGTCTAAAAAAGCTATAGCATTGTTAGCCTAGCATAATTCAAGTGGTATAACTCCCCTATTGCAGTTATGGCAGCTTAAAAGTACTTTACAAACATACAACTATTCCTAGACAGAGAGGGGCATAATGATCCCAATCAAAGTCACCTTTATACTTGATTATGTCCTAACTAGGGCTTTTACCAGTATAGCCATTTTGGTGAAAAACATGCCTCTGACCAAACTAGTTATACTGGTATAACTTTTAAGTGTAGGCCAGGGCAAAGATTTAGTGTAGGGCTGCAGTTTATGTCTTTATTTGTACTGTGATAGTGTCAGTGATATAAGGCAGGGCACCCTTGTGAAAAGTGCTGTATAAACACAGCTGAAAAGTGGCCTCTATGCTAAAAGACTTGGAGGAGTTTAAAATCCCATTTCTTGACCACCTGGCCATTGGGCATGAGCAGGGTTTAAAATCAGACTTCTGTTTGAGTATTTTTTGCTTTCTTTTAGTATTACAAGTAACACTTCAGATTCCTTTAGCTAAAAGAGATTAGAGAAAACAATATTTATTTTGTTTCTGTTCTACATGTTCACTTTGTGCATCTGAGAGCCTTTTGTGTGGTCAGGGTCACTGTGTTCCTGTGTGGCCAGGTGAATTCCCTTCTGTGGTATTGCCTTCACAGGAAAGAAGAGGGGCTCTTGCCCCGTGTTTGCCAACTGTGATAACTAACAGAAGGGAAAATCCCGACCAAGAAAAGGCAATGAAGGGGGTGCAGGAACTGTAAGGGTGTCTGCACCTGCTCCAAGTCTCTCCAGTCACCCCCCCCCCCCCCCCCTCCAGGGTAGGCAGACTGCCACAGAAGCAGCAGCTGGAGCTTTTTTAAATCCCTAAAACAGGTGAGAACCTCCAGGTCACTCTCCACGTCCCCTCCCTTACCCTCCATGCTCAGAGGCATGTCCCCTCCACTCCCCAGCGCGCTGCTGCTTCTGCTGTCCCTCTTGCTGCTGCAGAGCCACTTCAGTCCCCTCCAGTCAGGCTGTGTGGGCAGCTAGACTCTGCCTCACCACTGCACCCGCCCTGAATCTCCCTGGTGACTGTCACGTGTTAGATATATTAATTATGTGCATTTTTCATCTAAC